GACCATGGCTTCAACCCTCAGGAGTCAAAAGTAAGCTTTCCTTTCTTGAAGCTGTTGTTTCCGGGTGTTTGGGTCACAGCCATGCAAAAGTAACTGGTACAGATTGTACATAAATATAGACTGGGGGCGGGAGAGATGGCTCAGAGGTTAAGAGCACTGACTGCTCTTCCAGAGGTCCTGAGTTCAATTCCCAGCAACCACATGGTGGCTCACAGCCATCCGTTATGAGATCTGGTGCCCTCTTCTAGTGTGCAAGCATGCATTGAAGATAACTGTATACATAATAAATAAATAAATTTTAAAAATACTTAAAAATAAATATAGACTGTCCAAGGGCTGAACTGTGTCCCTTGAAAGTTTATATGTTGAAATCCTAAGCCCATGATGTCTCAGGATAGGAGTATATTTGGATGTAGGCTTTAGAGAGATGGTTAAGGCAATGATCTAGCTCCAAGTGCTGGCCTTGGTCCAATCCCCAACACCACTGCCTTAGTCCCTTTTCCTGTCACTGTGATAAAACACAACAACAAAACAACTTGCTGCAGAATGGCTTGTTTGGCTCACAGTTCAAATACAAACCATTGTGGTGGGAAATCGCCATGTGCTCAGGCAGGCAGCAGAGAGGGAGGTGAATGTGCACTGCTGAGAGGAACCCTTTCTCCATCTGTACAGCCCAGGATCCTTGGCAGGGAATGACACCGCCCACTGTGGGTGGGTTGTCCCAACCCAACACAATCAAGATAATGATCCCCACAGGCAGGTCCAGGGACCCAGATTCTGTCAAGGCTACAAATAATACGACCCATTACCACTTACCACCACCACCACCATCAAAAAAAAATATATATATATGTTTTTAAGATAAATAAGTTAGTCGGGCGTTGGTGGCACACACCTTCAATTCCAGCACTCAGGAGGCAGAGGCAGGTGGATCCCTGTGAGTTCGAGACCAGCCTGGTCTACAAGAGCTAGGACAGGCTCCAAAGCTACAGAGAAACCCTGATGGGGGGGAGGTCCTTCTGTGTAAATGTTTGTCTTATTGGTTGATAAAGTACTGTTGGCCAATAGGGAAGCAAGTTAGGGGGGACTAGGAGCCGAGGAGGATTCTGGGAAATGTAGTAAAGAAGTCTTGTGATCCAGGCAGGAAGTGACATAGCATGGCAGACTCAGAATATAAGCAGGGTCAAGCAGGAAACCGCTTTCTCTTCCTCCCCCTCCCTTCTCTGTGCAGTCACCATGTGAATGCCAGCAAGACAGGACGCATTCTGCCGGTGTCCTCAATAAGATAAGTTTATAATATACATAGATTAATAGTTATGGGTGATTCTTAAGACAGAACTAGCAAATAAGAAATCTTAGTCATTGGCCAGCAGCATTGTACCTAATATAAGACTCTGTGTGTTACCTGAGACCTTAATGTGGCGGCAGGGCTCAGGCAAATTGGTGGAAAGATTTATCGTTACAAAACCCTGTCTCAAAAAACCAAAAAAAGTTAAGATGAGGCCCTTAGTGTGGACTCTAGTCTAGCAAAACTGATACCCTTATAAAAAGAAGAGATTAGAAGAGAGAGAGTGACATGTACGTCATGTGAGCAGATAGGAAGAAGACAGACACCTGCCAGCCTAGGACAGAGGCCTCTGCAGAAACCATTCCTGCCTTCACCTTGAGTTTGGATTTCTAGCCTTCCAAAGTTCAGGCCACTAGGTCTGTGGTATTTGCGGATGTCAGTCCTAGCTAAATAATATAACCAATGTCACTGAAATTACTGAAATACAGTTCCTTCCTCTCAGATGGCTCTAGCTTGTGTCAAGTCCATGTAACAATACCCAGTACACCCACTGCAGGCACTGAGTACACATAGTTCATGAAATCATCATGACCGTGGGGCTACTTCACAGGGGAGCATTACTGCTCTGCCCACTGGGAGACGAGAAAACATGTGCACTGGAAAATCTCAGGTATGCCAATAGCCACAGCTGGTAAATGACAGACAAGATTCATGCCGAGATAGTTGGCTTGCTGTCTTGTCTCCAGTAACCACCTGGTCCTAACCACAGTGCCCCTAAGGTGGCAGGCTTAGAGCTCTATCACCTTGAGGACATTAAGGCAAGAGAGGTAAGGCGTCAGCCCTAGGCTTGAAGGCAGCAGGCCGCAGTTCTCTGACCACACTACTGCTTAAATTCTTCAACTAGTTGACCCCTTGCAACAAAGAAGGGAAATGTCTCGCCCTGTAATGGACAGGAGAATCTCCACTAGTGAAAATCCACAGCAAGAAAATGACAAGCAGCTGGGTGAGATGGTGGGCGCCTGTAATCCCAGTACCAAAAACATGGGAGCCAGAGGATCACAGGTTCAAGACCAACCTGGGCTCATAAGACTAGCAGAAAAAGGAGTCGAGGGGGAGAAGGCGAGAGAGGGAGAAGGTATGAGTGGCAGGGCTGATGTCCACCTGACTGAACGTGGACAGCTGTACTGAATTAGCAATCCACAGGCATCCTTTATTTTTTTCTTTTTTCTTTTCTTTTTTGTTTTTTTGTTTTTCCAGTCAGGGTTTCTCTGTGTGGCTTTGGAGCCTATCCTGGAACTCGCTCTGGAGACCAGGCTGGCCTCGAACTCACAGAGATCCGCCTGCCTCTGCCTCCCGAGTGCTGGGATTAAAGGCGTGCACCACCAACAGGTATCCTTTCTACAGGTCTCTACTGAAAGCCTGCTGTGAGCCAAAGCCTTCATTGGGCAATGAGGAGACAACATTACAAAACAACGCAGCAAGCGGGCTCTGCCCTGAGAACTTATGGTGCCTTCAGTATCAGACCACACCAATTTGAACCGTGCCTTTGAGAAGAGCTACAGAGGGCTGCGAGCCGGCTAACTAGGGGATGGTGAGTTGTGTCACGTTACAGAGTAGACACCTAACTTGGCTGGGAAGTCAGGGAAGATGCTTCTAGAGAAGTCACAGCATGGGCTCAGTCCTAAAAGATAATGAGGGGAGCTTTGGGTCGCAAGTGAATTCATGGTGTGGCAAGTGACTCCAACATAGGCTATTCAGTTTATTAATGTGGTTTCAATAATTAAAACATCACTTTAATTTTACATGCAGGGTTGTTTTGGCTGCATGTATGTCTATGACCACGTGTGTGCCTCCCCGGGCGGTCAGATGTCTCTGTCATTTCTAGAGTTTTTGGAAAGTCATTTGCCACACACTTTTTGTGCTTTTGATGGAGTTGAAGACTAGATGGTTATAGTTGCAGTGTTTCTTAGGTATGATTCTTATTACATACAGTCTTACTGCGTTAAAGTTAAAACTTTATTTTGTTTAGAATGAATTGTTGGGGAATATTATTTTAAGGTGGGTGACTTTTGTTTATGTTGCATTTGTTTAACTCTGTGAAGCTGTGTTACTTTGCCTGTCTAAAACACCTGATGGTCTAATAAAGGGATGAATGGCCAATAGCCAGGCAGGAGAGAGGAATAGGCGGGGCTGGCAGGCAGAGAGGATAAAGAGAAGGAGAAATGAGAGGGAGAGGAGGAGCAAGATAGAACAGGGAGGAGGAGAAATGAGGGGTTCAGTCAACCCAGCCACACACAGTGAGACGGAAAGGAAAGGTATACAGGAAAGAGAGAGATAAAGGAAGGCCCGGACACTCATGAGTAAGAATAAGACTCCGGGTGTGATTTATGTGGGAGCTGGGTGGTGGGCTCCTCAAAGAGCCAAGAGTAAAACATCTCATTGCATGTGAGATCCCTGGAACTGGAGTTACAACAGGTTGCTAGCGGCCCTGTGGGTGGTGGGAATTGAACCTGGGTCCTCTGGAAGAGCAGCCAGTGCTCTTAGCCGCTGAGCCATCGCCCGGGGCCACAGTGAGGTGAAAACCGACTTGCCTGGTGTAATACATGATGGCCTCTTCGTAATCCCCTGCGTGGAAAGCCTCGTTTCCCTTCCCCTTTTCACGATCGGCAAGAAAGCTCTTCTCCTTCTCAGTGAGACCTAGAAATAAACATGGGTGGCAACACCCGAAGGCAGGTTCTCTAAAAGCTGAAACGCTGGCGTGATTTGGTCTTCTGGCGGTCCTGGGGACAGACCTCAGGGGCCCGGGCACGCCCAACAAGCTCTCTACCCTGGAGCCGTGCTCCCACACGCCAAAAACACTCATTTTAACTGAGCAGAAGGCCATAGATCAAACAAAACAAAACATTTCCTGGATGCAGAGCTATTTCTTCTTTTCTAATCACCCCCTAGTTTTTTGAGGGGTTAGTTGTCTTACGCCAGATTTTGCTTTAAAGGTTCTGTATGGACTTCGGACAACAGATTGCCCCATTTCTTTTATTTGATGCAAAAAGGAAAAAAAAATGAATAATTTTAAAGGAAGAGGATTGAAAATGGGAAACGGAAAGCAAAAGAATATTCTAAGAAAAATGGGTTTATATGCAAGCATTGTGATTCAGAAGGCCAGGCACAGAGGTAGACACCTGTAATCCCAGCTCTAGGACAATGGAGGCAGGATGATCAGAATGCCAAGGTTATCTATCATTAGCTACATACAGAGCTCAAGGCCAACCTGGGCTACGTGAGACCCTGTCTCAAACAAAATTGAGTAATTAAAGACATAGATAAATTTGCTGGGAGTGGTCAACCCTGGCCAAAAATCTACAAACTTTAATGGAAATCAATCGTTCTCAAAGACAATGTTTCCTAAGCTGGCAAGTTTTTACTGTAAATTGTCAGAAAATGACTCACTGTTCCCATTTTCTCTTATTACCTGCTGTGTCTATTTTTGTCTCAATTTTAGACAAATGAGCCTTGTTGTCTACTATCATCTTTTCTTTGTAGTCTTCGTCAATTTTTGAACATTCTTTTTCCACATCAAATCTGACAGAACAACAAAAATGGGGGAAAATGAACAGCATGTTACAAGTAAGAAACAAAACTCATTACTGTATCTGAAGACAAAGTACATGTGTGGGACTCTGTGTTGGAGTTGAGAGCTGGTGGTTTGGTTTTGTTTTTCTGTTTGTTTGTGGGGTTTTTTGTTTTTGTTTTTCAAAGACAGGATCTTACTATGTAGCCCTGGCTGTCCTGGAACTCACTCTGTAGACCAGGCTGGCCTGGAACTCACAGAGATCCTCCTGGCTCTGCCTCCTGAGTGCTGGGGTTAAAGGCGTGCGCCACCTCTGCCTGGTTAAGATTTTTTTTTCTAATGCTGGCAAATATTTGCATATACCAAACGAGATCTATGGGGAAGCCACAAGTTAAAACACGACATTCCTGTCTGCTTCCCATACATGTAACCTACACACAGTTTCATGTAATACTTTAATTTCATGAAGGAAACAGAAGTTTCATGGTGTGAAATTATTCACTGGCAGTGCTGAGAGTTTCAGACTCGGGGACATTTGGACTTTGGATTTTTGTGTTACCAATGTTCACCCTGTAACTGTGTCTATACTCTTAGGCAATACATTCTTCATAGATCCGCTCCTTGAATTATTTCTATTTCTTCTTAAGCAATTGCCTGACACAGTGGCACCCACTCTTTATCCCAGCTCTGGGAGGCAGAGACAGGTGGATCTCTGAGAGTTTGAGGTCAGCTAGCATTATATGGTAAGAGCCATATAATTTTTTTTTTTTTTAAATCTAACCTGTTTTGCAGAACAGTGGTGGTGCACACATTTAATCCCAGTAGTTGGGAGGCAGAGGCAGGTGTATCTTTGTGACTTCGAGGCCAGCCTGGTTTATAAAGTGAGTTGTAGGACAGTCAGAGCTACACATAAAGTGAGTTGTAGGACAGTCAGAGCTACACAGAGAAACCCTGTCTCAAAAAAAAAAAAAAAAAAAAAA